CCGGCATGTACTTCTTTGACAATATTCTGTGCTTCGGCTCTGCTCAAACACCCGGCATGTACTTCTTTGACAATATTCTGTGCTTCGGCTCTGCTCAAACACCCGGCATGTACTTCTTTGACAATATTCTGTGCTTCGGCTCTGCTCAAACACCCGGCATGTACTTCTTTGACAATATTCTGTGCTTCGGCTCTGCTCAAACACCATAGCCACATTTGGTCGAACAATCTTCTATAGAGAACATTTCCCACCACGGCGTAAGACATGGCCCTTCTTGTAATGTGGTGCGCCTCAGACTTATTTTCTGGCAGCTTTCCAATATGCAAATATTCTATTAATGGCTTGCGCCAATCTTTGCCGATGTCTGCAACTGTATTCACGGTTTCTTCTTTTCCAAGTTTGTGAAGGGTTTCAAAGTCTCTTTGAGACAAGACTCGTTTTCCTTGCACCGTGACTTTGATGGAATCCTCCGGGGGACACGCCATTTCCTTAGCGAGTTTTGCTAAAGCGTCGGCATGAGCATTATCTCCCCGAGGAATCCAGTAGAAAGGCACCTCAGGAATCCACTCTAGGAGTTTCATCGCGTACAGATGGTATTCTACTAATCTTGGTTTTAGAATTCTGTATTGTCCGGTGACTTGCTGGATGACAAGTTGAAAGTCACCATAAATGGCAATGTTTGTTATATCCATCAAAATTACTAATTCCAATCCGGTGATTAAGGCTTCATATTCTACTTCATTGTTGGTACATGACTTCGTCAGGTCGTATGAAAACCTCAACATACCCTTATCCGGCGTGATAAAGATCAAATTGATCCCTACCTTGCCTGGTATAACTGTGCCTGATCCCTTATTTTTCTTGGCTGATGAAGCACCGTCGAAGTACATTTCCCAGCGCTGCGCACTAGAAAATTTCATTTGTAGTATCTGCTCATCTGGTAACTCGTCGTTGAGAGAGGACCCAGCTAGCAGTGGGTGTGCAGCGAGAAAGTCTGCTAAAATCTGTCCCTTGATAGCACAGAGGGGCATAAAAGTTATATCAAATTGCAATAAGATCATTGACCATCTCGCTAAACATCCGGAGAGTGTTGGTCGGGTCATCAAATATTGCAATGGATTAACTTTCAAAATTAAGGTGACCTTATAAGAAAGCATGTAATGTCTAAGCTTTTTAGCGGCGAAAATTAATGCCAAACAATGCTTCTCAATAGGTGGATACCTTACCTCCGTCGGTATTATACGACAACTCAAGTAGTAGAGCGCATTTTCTTTTCCCTCTTCATTGACTTGGGCTAAGAGGGCTCCAAGAGAGTCATCTAAAGCTGCGGTATAAAGTATCAACGGTTTCCCTAGGATAGGGGCTGCCAAAGCAGGAGATATCATTAAATATTGTTTAACATCTTCAAAGGCCCGCTGGCATTTTTCTTCCCAAATAAATTTGGCTTCCTTTTTAATTAATGCCGAGAAATGCTGACACCTACCTGAGAGATTGGAAGTAAAGTGTCTCAGATATGCCAACTTCCCCTGGAAGGAACGTAACTGCTTCAAAGTTTTAGGGGGAGGCATTTCCGAGATAGCTTTAATCTTATCCGGGTCGATCTCGATTCCCCGATGACGGACAACGAATCCTAGAAATTTCCTGGAGGTGACGCCAAAGACGCACTTTAAGGGATTCATTTTAAGGTCATATTGTCGTAACCATTCAAAAACAATCCTCAAATTGTACAAATGGTCTATTTTTTGTTTACTTTTGATGACCAGATCATCCACGTAGCATTCTACTTGATTGTGAATGAGGTCATCAAGAATCTTCGTCATTGCACACTGATATGTTGCTCTGGCGTTCTTTAGGCCGAACGACATCACTGTGTAGTAGAAAATTCCAATCGGTGTTCTGAAGGTTG